GCCGGGACAGACGCGGGATTGACCCCTCTCAGGAGCCGTAGCGGAAGCTGGTTTGTGGTCATGTGACACAGAGAGGGCGGGCCTACGGAGGTTCACTCACTGGGAGAACCAGTGAGACGATATGAGGGAGACGCTTTTGTTGTGGGCAGTGTGCACCTTCGGGATGGGGGATAATGCTGGAGGTGCTTATGTTTGTTTGGTTCCCATTTAGAAATTTTTAGTGATGTTTAATAACCTCGCATTTGCAAAGTAAACCTTCGGGAGCCAATTAACGTAACTATTTTCAGGACTGCCTGCATCGAGATTTCTATTGAAGCTCAAGAATCAGACCACTTAAACCAACTTGGGAGTGATTTTGAGGCACCCTTAAATTTGATTACTCGTTAAGTCCTCCAGTTAAGAACCAAGGAAAGGGTGAAGTTAGATTTCATGATGATTAGCAGCCGTGTTTAGCTTCCTGACACTCTTACCTTACCTATGTGATTTCATATTTTATATATTCTTTACCAATTCTCTACATTTAAACTTTTTTGAATTATTGTGTGTGAATGAGGAGCATCAGAATATATGACCCATAATTTCCATAATCCATAGGCTTTACTTCATTAGAAAAATGAATACTTCGTTAGAAAAACAGGCAAAGATATGCTTAGATTCTTCACATGAAATTTTAAGAAAGTACTCATAATTCAGTTTTTAAACATCCTAATTAAAGTGACATGTTCAGGCTCACTGATAATGAGCAAAACATTGGTCAAAATGATGAAGCAGGTAAAAATGCAAAAGAACAGTAATATTCAGTATTGGTAAAGGCATAAGGAGTGGATTCATATTGCATTGTCAATACAGCTGAAAATTCTAATAACCTTACTAGAGTTATGAGTATGAAAGCCTTAATATTGTGAATCCTTTAATTCTATAACTTTTATTCTATGAGATTTATCCTGAGGGAATATGTGAACAATTGTGAACTGACATATTTATAAAATGTCTATACCAAAACTATATTAAGGGTGCAGGAGTTCAGGATGCATTGACTTTATATAGCCATACAGTGGACTCTGATCCAAATGATGGTTGGTTCTTGTCTACTGATGTGAAAACCCATCCACAACATTTAAAGCTAACAAAACAAAAAACCAAAAAGAAAAGCAAAAACTAATAGGAAAGTGTGGTTTTATCTTATTGTGTTTTAAAAATACTTATATAAAAGTATTCTGGAATGGTATACACCTTCATTACTTGTGTTGTCTATTGTTTTCAGAGTGAACATCTATAATTTTTAAAAGCCAAGATAAATTTATTTCCATTTTGAAAAAAATGAAAAGCAGTTACCATTTTTTCAATTTTATTGTGACAAAACAATAATATTTTCAGAATTACATAAATATTAGTACAATATGTTGTATTTTGTCAGGATGTAGCAATATAAAATATTCAATATTTTAAAAATATATTTCATCTTCATTATATAGTAACTATTAAATTAAGTTTAGTAGCAGTAAGTTACATTTAATATATAGAAAAATCTGTATGTTAGCAATAAAATTCAAATTTAAACATTTTAATACTCTCATAAATAAATTAATAATGTTTATATTTCAGAAACAAAGAACTCTTGAGAAATTGGTTGTTTTAGCACACTGAAATTCTGAGGTTGAAGCCCCGATTTTAAAAGAAACAAGTTACTTACATTTTACCTACAAAGTTAAATATTTAAAACTTCATAAGATACTCATAGATATCTGGAAAATAACCCATGAGCTGTATTTTAATGCTCACTTTTCGGAATGTGCTGAACAACTGTTCATATGGCTTCGCTGGTGTGAAGGTTTGAGCGTGACTTGTCTTCCTCAGAAGTGAAATACTGATAAGGGGGTGAGCGCAGATGAGGCGTGGGGACGCGTGGAGGCCAGGCTCTTGGCTTTAGCACCAGTCTTGAGGCTTTATTAAGAGTAACAGTAGATTATTGTGAGGTCTTCTGAGTTCGGGCTTTTTAAAAGAGGCGAAGAAGGTGTGATTGTGGCCCATTTCTTGGGTGCTTGGCTAGCACGGCTCTTCTCAGTCTTCAGAGGGCATCAGAATCAGGCAGAAGCTTTGCGACAGTACATATTTGTGGCCTCTACCCACAGAGTTTAAGTCTACAATGGGCCTAGAATTTGCATTTGTACCAAGCTCCTGGCGATGCTGATGTTGACAGAGACCAGCTGGCCCTCTTGCCACAGCGGAGTACAATTACAATAGATCTCTTTAGGGAAGGAATGCCTTAATGCCAGGTGAATCTTAGGACATAATCACATAAATAAAATGCTGCACATCGTCATACTGATGTAAAAATGGCTTGACAGCAGTTATGTGAGCAGTGAAAAATGTAAACCACGTCTGTGTTTCAGGGTCCCATTTTCCCTTAAGGAGTAGTTGAGATGGGAGCAAGAGCCTGAATGCAAATATCAGCACCACCAGTTCCACCTCAGGTAGACAAAGAAGCAGCCTGGAAACTCCTGTCATGAAGTCCAGCCTCTAAGACTCACCAGATAGTGCCAGTGTCACATACACATGAGTTAAAAGTGTTTTGTAAATCTTTGTTTTCTAAGTATTGTCCAGACCTTAGCTCCTGAGGTGCCTAAGACAAGCTAGGGGCCTTGGACTTGCTCTGGATATAGATATTATTTTTAACTGCTGAAGTATGATGATGAAATATAAAAATAAAGAGGGAAGGAAAAAGAGGGGAGAGAAACATGAAATGCTTTTTTTGTTTGATTTTGCTGCTGGGGACTGAAGCCAGTGTCTTGCACACACTAAGCACAAACTTTACCCCCGAACTCCATCCCCAGACCCTAAGTGTGATTCTTAACAGAAGCAATGAGTTATCTCTTTATGAGTTTTTAGATTAGAAACAAGTTTCTTTTGTATCTCCTCTGTTTTTCTTTTAGTGTCTAATTTACCACCTTTCCTGCATTGCTTGGTCTTGAAGAAAATGCTTGTTAAGTTGAGCTAAGTAACCTTGGAATGTATCAACACACTGAAAAGCAAGTTTTAAGACATTCTGTTGCCAAATTAGACAGTTTGTACATGAAGGTTTTACACAGTGGTTTCTCTCAATATCGTTTGTAAGAATATATCCCACAAGGCAAAACATTTTTACACAGGAAAATTTAGAAATAAAAGGAACAAATCTGTAAAACCAAGTAATGAAATATTTAGAGCAAAAATAAAAATATTCTCAGCTCGACCACCCAACAAATCCCTAACATTCTTCCATGAATTATTGATCTACTGTAACCAATTATATAAGGTATTATTTTATAGGGATGAGGATAAAGTGCACATCTAATAAGTAGTGTTCCCCCGCTTTTCTCTCTTTCTCTTTTGTGTGTGAGTACACCGGGAAAGAGAAGGTAAAAGTCTGACATATTTCAGAGTTTGTGTGTAATAACATCCTATTACAGTCAATTCAGTAAAGGTAAACATTTTATCCACTTTGAGTAGACAGGCTATATGGATACAGTGAAATGAATTCAACAGACTAACAAAAATCTCCAAAGAAATATAAAACAAAACCATATATTATTTCCTAGACTACTATGGTTCCACGGAGGGAACGCACTTTTGGCCTTAGTTTTGGCTATGTTTGAACGATTCTGGAAAAATCCATGAACCTCCATTCAATTGTGTCCCCTCAGGCCTTACGTTATTCAACCCATCTGAAAGTCCAATTCTGTTCACGATGCTTCAGTGTTCTACATATCCCAGATTTTTTACTTAAGATCTAAAATTTCAGGAAGGAGGTAGTGGGGCAAAATAAGACCAGTTTAGCTTCACTAAATCTTTAAGACCAGAAGCAAAGAGGACCAATGTTAAGAATCCAGTGGACCAAATATCTCTCAGCTTGCATATTCAAGCTAATACAATTACCATTTAGAGAGTGCTTTGGATACAAGTGGAATATGATTTCAGTGATATTTTATAAAGATGATTGCCTTGCCCTAAGGAACTTTGAAACAGCACAGATTTGGAGACTAAAATCATAGAACTTACTGGGAAGAAATGTCATGTTATTTGGGGAAACAAATTTAAACTTTGAACTACTAACCATTCATAAAGCAGCATTGTTTGTTTAGAGAAAAATACCTAAATAAATGCATGTTTTGCTCCATTACTTTGTTATTTAGGCAGGGGAAAAGTGGCAGTTCTTTTTTTTTTTTATTTATTTCTTCAATGTCTTTTCTTCATGCACACCTGACAGCGACTTATTATTTTTTCTAACTCCCCAGCTTTCACAGTTGATGGAACAGGTTTTCTGAAATAAAAGCAAACAAAGAACTCATTAATTTATGAATAAATTTATAAATTGCTGGGTTTGAGTTTTATTAATGAATATTGTAGCTGTTGTAAATTGTACAACAGGAATATCTTTCTTTATGGAAGGAAAGAATTTCTGAAAAAATACATTTTATAATTTTACTTGTATTTCAGTAGCACGTGAAACAGGATTTTATTGTCATGGTAAGGGGTGAAATGTAAATTGTATCAACACATAGATATTGAAAAGTAGAGTAGGTAACTTGGGATAGTTCTGCAATTGAGTCATCAGATTAAGCTTGACCATAAATAGTTACCTGAACATTCTTTCTGGGTGTAATGAAGCCAACCAGAAGCTGTAGGAATTTGAATAGTAGTTGCAGGTTCCTCTTCCGTGACACTCTATGAATGGATTGGCTCGGAATTCCTCCAAGCAGGAGCCAGGTGAGGCCAGTGCTTGTCCAGCACCCTCTGAACCTGCACTTGTGAACTATTACAATACAAAGTATCAAGAAACTCTCTGCCCATAATATCTCTTAGCCATCTCAGCATGGCTAAGTCTCTATTTTCTGAGGGTGCAGGGATGGAATTGGGGAGAGTTATATAAGACAAAGGGAAAAGAAAAAAAAATAAGAAAACACAAATTAAACTTCCTGTACTTTATCCAGATTCGCTAATACTCCAGGTTCTTCAAAGTTGAGCTAAAGCAGGACTTACAGAAAAACAAATCCTTCCCAGCCTTGGGCAGTCCCCCACCCCATCACCCTCCTCTCTACTGTAGCTGTAACTTCTTGTTCTGGTACAGAAAAAATTATGTCCTGTAAACAAAATTTATGACACTCTGTTCTCATATGATTCATAAAACACTGCCTTCTTTCAAGGCAAAGTTACAAAACTGTCTGCCTTTGTCCTGTTCTGGTAAACTCACCTGCTACTTCACTAGAAAAACCACCCCCTTTGACAAAATGTGTCAAAGCTGGAACTTCTCTTTGTTCAATGCTCATTGTTTTTTAACAAGGAGTCTGCTAAACCTAAGCACCTTAAATAAATCCTTCTGCCTCCCATTTGGTCTCTCCTGTCTCTCAGAATTCTGCAACAGAGGTTCCTGCAGGCTAGATACTCTTTACTCCCAGGACTGACTGGCTCTTTCTCATACTTCTAGCAGCTTCTTCCTTATGTATAACTTCATAAAGGCTACCCTTGACTGCATTCCTCTTCCAGCTTCTCTACCTTGCCTTATTTCTTTCATGGTTCCTGTCACCAACTGTATTCTTTCCTATTGCCTACCTTCATAACTAGGGTACTAGCTCCAGGAAAGGCAGAATTTGACTCCTGGAATCCTTAGTGCGTAGAATGGTCCTGGCACATGGTTAGTGTCCAATAAATAGTTTGTAGTGATTTGAATAAAGGAACAAGTGTGAGTCAGGAAAGGGAGTCAAGTTTCATAAACAGCACTATATAGACTATGAATAAGCACACAGACAGCTATCCACATAGCGGAGGGTCAGTTCACGTTATTTGGCACTTAGATCGGGGGGATTGTCTAAAAGCTGCTTCTCTTTATTCTCATCTTCACAGGAGTGTCCAAGGGCACAATATAAAGCATGATTTGGGAGCTGCTAAAGGTGGATTCAAACCCTAGCTTTATCACCTAAGAGTTCTGAGAACTCAAGGAAATTGGCTTGTTCTTATTTGTAAAATTTGATGGCAGAAAAAGAAATTTTGATGGAGAAACTTCTCTATTATTCACCAACAGCCATCCAATTTTTAAAAAGTACATTTGCAGATTTTCAAACAAATGTCTATAGCATATCACACCTTCTGTGGGGCAGCATCGGTCTTGGGGGTACACATTTTTACCAGGCAACAGGTACAACTTTATAGGCAATTATTACTATAAATTTACTATTCTTTTGCTGCTTACCATGATGAAAGAAAATCCCTTCCAGAGAGGAATCCAGCCTTGGGGACAGGGGGGAGTGGCAGTGGTTTGGCTGTGAATGGCTATGACCATCGCGGGACCCTCACAGGCAGTGCATCTACGATAGGAAACACGGAGCATGGCTGCACCATGGCATCCCAGCAACGCGATTCCCTCGGTTCTTTACAAAACTAAAGGATTGACTTTTTACCTGCTAATGTAAGGCTCCAGGGCCCTGCCACTAATTGGAGCCATGTCCATTGGCATCAGAGCCGGCGTTGACAGCCAGTATGAGTAATCATTTCGAGATGCGAAATTACATAAATTATCATTACAGAATAAGAATGGCATTGTGGTAAATCGCTGCAGACAGCTGCCAAGAGTTCCTAATAAAACATGAGACTAAGTATCACTTGCAGTAAGTTAAGATTATTTGTAGTATCATTATTAGAAGGAGGCTAAATAACACATAACCTGTGGCAAACCTGAACAGAGACTACACCACAGAGTACTTTGCAAAATGTGTATTGAAAAGTTTTAGGGATAACAGAAACCAAAGCTCTGATAGGCAAACTCAAGTCCCTTCTCCCACCCTTAATACTTCCTGTGGCCCATTGGGGGGGTAATATTTTTGCTTCAAATATTTCCAATTATTCACAACAGCTAATAAATAGATAAAGCTTTAGAAAAAAAGATACTGCTGTCGAGGTTAAATAGCAGACAGATAGTTTAATAGAAAATCAGATGCACTGAGTCAGACAACCTAGGCTCCTTCTACCATTCTGTATACCAGAATGAAAACTAGGCCTTAGGCCAACTGCTCTTTTTGAAACATGCTGAAATATAGTCGAGGTTATTTACATTTACTTTCAAAAGAAGCACCTTATGCTGTAAAAAAATTTACAATCTGTATATGGAACAAAAAGACTGGAAACTAGAACTGGAATATTACCAAGGTCTTGTCCATGGGCTCGTTCATTTCCTTGAACAAAAAGAAGAGAAAACCCACTGTAGAGTGGCTGTGTCCCTTCCGGACACAGAGGAGTTGCTGTGGTCTGGCTATGTCGGGTAAAGACAAAGCCCTGCATTGTTGCCCCAGCTGCAGGTGATCCAAAGTCTCCAGGTTTTCCCTTCACACCTGGCAATCCATCTGATCCAGGTGGCCCTTTAAAAATACACATTATAAATGTGCAACCTTGTTGCAAGACAATCTCAAATTTGCTTTCCAGTGAACTAATTGAAGTGCTCTGACATCTCTGTTAAGCCCCACATACAGAAAAGAATCCTGGAAAAGAGTGGCCTTACCAGATGGCTGAACATTATTCATTGTGAACCAACTTTATTACATAAATGCCTTTTATTATACATACTTGTGTGTTTCTATCATGAGTTCTTTAAGAACAGGTCTTTATCTTTGGATATCCCTGTGATTCTATCGCAGTTGTCTTCACTTGACAGGTCCCCTGTGCCTCTTTGTTAGTTCTGTTTGTGCATCAGGCTAAAAATTCAGAGTACACCTGCTTAAGGTAAGAGTCCCATCTTCCAGTAATTCTTGATTTCCCATCTTTTTCCAAAAGAACACTGGCACCTGGCCTTTGGTCTGATCTGAACAACACAAACTGAAAGAACTAGATTACTCTTATAGTCACACATTTGAACAGGACACTTCTCTGCATACTGAAATAGTACCCCTTTGGGGAAGGAAACAAAATGGGCAAGGTTTTTGTTTTCTTTGTTTTCGATTTTACCTTGCTCTCCTTTAAAACCTTTGTTGCCTTTTTCTCCAACTGGTCCAGGAGTTCCTGGCTTTCCATCATTGCCTGGTTTACCCTTTGGCCCGCAGGGTCCTAGGCAAAAACCAACAATGCAATGCATTTCCTCATGTTAGAATGAAAAATAAGGTGGCCACAGACTCCAGTTAACCTGGGAATTTCTAGTTTCTAATTTCAGCAACAATAGTGCTGCATCTCAGGAAGACCTTGAGTCCTGGAAGAAGGTCCTAACACATGTCCTGTCTCATTCATATATATAT